ACTGACCACCGATCGCATAGATCACGCGCCGTCTCTTGTTGTTTTTGTTACTTCTGTAGTTGTTGTTGCCGTTGTGCATTGTAAATTAATTGCAGTCGCGTCGCGTCTGTTTTGGATTTTTTTTTGGCTTGAACCGTTCTCAACCAGTTTTTGGGCCATCCATCGTGTGTGCCATTAAAATGCACCACGAACTTGACAACGAAACGGAATAAATGGTGAAATATTTCTCTTCGAGCTTAAAGACTTTCCCTGTGACTAGATATAAGCACTAAGTTCTGGTATGTGATATTGGTAGAGATAAACAAGTTTTGTAATTTGGAACATACATTTTTTGGGGCTAACTATGTATGCAAAATTGAGTTCTTTGCCTTAATCTGTAATCTTAGTCTTTATTAATAATACAAAATTTTAACTGTTCGGATTATAACTTATTTTATGCTTAAGTTATGAATTTTCTTCCCATTTAATATACATTTTAAATATTTTATAATTTTTTTTAATTATTATTTAATGTAGTTAGTTATGTATTATTTTAAGCACCCAAGTAAGTAATCAAATTGATTTTCTCCGTAAATTAATACCTACATATCCGGTGTATTCTTGCCTTTGATCTTGTTACAATGCTTTAAAACTCCTTTGCCTTCTGATTTTTTGGTTCGTAACAACAATCAAGTTTAATTGCGTATTTCATAAGATTTTCGTTGTGCACTGTTTGCTTTTGCTGCTAATTAAAGTTCGCTGCCGAGCTGCAAGGAAAAAGAGCCATAATAAAACCAGAACAACACTTAAATATTAATAATTGATTATAATGTTATTACAGACATGATTTATTCTCGTTAGAATCTTGGTCAGCCGATCGGCGAGGCGTGAATAAGTGCTGCGATGGTTGCAAAATCAAAAGTTGCACTTGGGTTATGAGTTTAATTCATTTAATTGCCGAAAAAGAGCGAGTGCATAAATTATGAGAATTGCGAAATTTGTGCCAAACAAGTCCAAGTATGGATCTTCAGCTCATCCACTTCCGGCACGCGATCCATTTCCGTTCTGCTTTGCCTTGCCCTCCCTCCACCGCCCCCACTTGCATCAATCAAAGTCTCAATCAAGAGCAAAAGTAATCAAAACTAACAGCAACAATATGGGAGGGGGAAAAACACAATCCAAACAAATAGAGCCAACACACACACCAAATCATGGCCGTAAACAAAAAGGGAAGAAGTTGGGGCGACCAGAGCAAATAAGGCAAAATCGTTAAAAATAACAATATATATGTGGGTAAAAAATGGCATGGCAGAGGCAACGGCAATAGCAATGGGCCACAAACAAAAAGACAAACAACAATACACACACAAAATAGAAATGGAGAGCAACTTTCACCCAAGGTCATTGTGTCTTTAACTGCGCCACAGCACAAAACAGCCAGCCAGCAGCAACAACAGCAATAGCAGCAATAGCAGCAGCAACATCAACAGCAGCAACATCGGCAATAGCAACTAGCAACTAGCAACTTGCAACTGCTGGACAATATGAATATGCGACACGACACGATCGTCCAAGCGACCGACGCCCGATTTGCTATTTTCCACAAAAAACAAAGGCCAGAAAATATACCTTAGATGAGTGAATAAAGTATACCCTACCATTGGAGAAAAGATACTTCCCCAGGTTAAAATGGAGCTAAAAAACTATCTTTAAAAAAGACCTTCAAAATAATACTGCTTAATTTTTCCATAACTTTGCGTATATTTATTAAACGATATATTCCTAAGTTAATAATACCAACTGAATTTTTAGCCTTAGCTAAGAGATCTCCTCACAATGAAAGCACACACACTCCGATAAAAAACTACACTTTTTTTGGACTGTTAAAAAATGAAATTGATTTCCTGTTTTTAGCCCGTAGTATCAAACATCCTCACAATAGTTACTGCATCCTATCAAAGTGTATAAAAAGATAGCTAGCCTGATTGTCTGTCAAGTCGAGGAGTGAATCAGCCAAGGAACTGGTGAGTTCGAGGGGGAAAAAGTTATTTTCTTTTGGCTGCCTTTGCTACTGCATGTGCCAAAAATAAACTGAGGCAAATTGCAGTCTGAAGTTGCAAAAGCTGGTCTCCGCAGGCTGGGAAAGGTCGAGAGGAAACTGGCTGATCAGTTACTAGATTGTTCGTGGCGATTTTATGGAGATGTAATCACATAAGGAGCTGGAGTGCAAGTATTTCACATTATCCTTGAGCTCCTTGGGCTGACTGTACTTGCTCATAATATCTCGTAAATCTATATCATTTTACTAATTTTATTAATATATTAAACATATATTTTTTTAATTTTCTAAACATTTTTTTTAACCTCTTTCTAAAGTATTTTTTCTCTTATCTGCCATCTCATCAATTATTCACTCTTAAGCTGCTTAGACCAACATAAATGTCTGCTTAGGCATCTCAATCTTGGGCACTTCAATCTGAGGATTCCCCCATCATTCATATTATCCACGCCGACACCTTGATCTGGGTCATGCTTAGCCACATTGTTAGCTGGCTGCAATTAAGTGGCCGAAAACTAAAAGATGAGAGAGTGGAAAATTACTTTTAATTGACACAAAGTTTAATTAAAAATGAAGAAGAAACCAGATAAAAGAAATTCCGCAGAAGTTTGTCTTTAACTTTCTAATGCATTTCAAATTACATCATTAAGTTCTCTTTTGCCAAAATCCTAAATTAATGAGCTGAATATAAATACAGAGAAAGAAAAATGATAAAATTTTGGTACCTTAAATTTTTATATCTTTAGCTAAATCTTTAATTACATTTTTGGCAAAACTTTGAAAAGAAGAATAGATGTTTGGGTAGTAAAAATATTTTGTTAATAATTGTGAGTGTTTACTATTTTTTTAAACAAAATACATTTTTATAACCAAAGCTTAACCCATGACAGACGACGCTGAGCAACACGTAGCACAGTTTGATTAGAACAAAACGAAGCCACAGCAAAGGCAACAGAAGAGCAACATAAAAGCAACAGCAACAGCAGCCATGATGTTGCATAAATTTAAGTGCCACAGATACAAGGCGCAAGATACAGAAACGAGTTACAGATACATCAAGAAGCGGAGGCAGGCGCGCCAGAAGATGGGGTCTCTCCTCGGATTCAGAGTCGGCGGCATAGAAATGCGGATGCGAACTGGAGACCCCACTTCGCATATATACACACACTATATATATGTATATATATATGGGTATGGTATATATCGGTGTCTACCTCCAGACGGGCTGCGGTGAAAGAGCAAAGTATCTTAGTATCTTAACATTTAAATCCGCTGCGGTTCTCTGTGGAAACGAGTCTGGAAATTGGGTCAGTGGCACAGTATGCATGGCATTCTCCGTCTCCGTCTCTGTATCTGTATCTTTTACTGTACGTAGTCGTATCTGTGAGGTACATATCCACACAAATATCTATATATATATATATATATCCCCCACAACTGTGTGGGCTTCGTTTCTACGCCACTTCTTCGGTCTTTCTTTGGCTCTTTCTTCTGTGCCTGGCTTTCTTTGTGGTCAATATAATGATTCTGCCCGACTGGCTGGTTCGGTTTAGTTTGGTTTGGTTTCTTGGTCTCAACTTGACTTGGCTCGCATATTTTTGTGGCTACTACTCCATTTTATTTTTTTACTTTTGTGCCCGAACGTGCCTCAATGCTACGCCGTCAGGTTGCTAATGGGACCTTAAAAGCGGGTCCATGGGGCGTGTGAGGCATAAGCAATGGGGCAACACCCAAATGTCACTCACTTACCTTTGAGATTCCATCTAAAGCAGAAATTACCATGCACATTACTCATACGACATGTGGTGCCAACAAAAGAGAAAAACACATGTACAATTGTAGGCTTAGTTTGTTTTGCACATTTTGAATGACATTTGAATTTATTTAAATATAATTAATTAAATATTAGGCATTACAATTACGAAATAAATATTTACAAATCGAAATGTGTTGAACAAAATTCAAGTTTGCTTTTGTAAAAATAAATAAAATTGCACGATAACTAAAATAACACAATTAATATTGTCTTTTGTTTATAGAAATTATACATAGATTTAAATTAGAATTAAACTAGTTTATGGTTTATTTAATTGTTGGTTTTTTTTCGGGTGCTGAGTGTGTCCAAGGATTAATGATAAATAATTTCGGGTATATCGAACATAATTTAAGGTTAAGATTAACGTTAAAACTTTAGCAACAAACTTTTTAAAAAACAAATTAACAACGCTTTACGATATTGGCTAAATTAAATCGAGTTTATTACTTGAGTACATTGCTAAACGATTTTCATCATTTCCATCGATTTCGGTTTAGATTTTTCTCCATTAACGTTTCATATATTTTGCAAACTGATTATTATGAATAATATTTTGCCAAGCCCGCTACAAATTCTTAGACCTATACATTTTAAGTATAACGCTTTTCCATTGGTTTGTACATTTTAAAAGTAATTAATTTAAAATTGTTATTGCTTTTGCGTGATTAGTGTTAATTTAAATTGTAATTTGTATGCGTCACTATTTCAGTTTTCAACATGATGAGGTACAGACAACATTCAGAACTTTATACAACTTCCTCTCATTACCTTCCTTAATTGGTATTATTGTCTAGATTGTTATTAGATACGATTTACCTGTGCTCGAAGTTCGCGACCCTGCATCAAAACAGAACAACAGTTGCAGAATGACAATTGGACGCTTCGTTGTTCTTACATTGCTTGTGGTCTCTTTGGATTTTCGCTGTCTCTAAAGAACTGGATATGGTGTGCCATAAAGTGATTCTAAAGCTGATCTTGGTTAGAGGTAGTAGGTTGATGGTAATTTAACCTGTCAAAACTGAACTTTAGGATCTAAGAAGGGTAAGTAACCAAACTAAACGGAAGTATTGAACAAACAGGCTAGAATTAGATTTTCTTTTAAGAATTTTATTTCTTTTTAAAAAAATTACAAAAAAAACTTTCTAAGTAAAACCTTTTGTTTTTGACTTGTTTTTAACTATAAAATGTTGCTAAGTCTGATTTTTTTTTAACTATTTGGCATTTTCTAACCCTTATTTTCACTCATTACGAATAAGCGAAGAGATCAAAAGCAACCAACAACAACGAATATCAAAAAGTGTGTGTATGCCACTGCGTGACCTTTAGATTTTCTATATATCTGTTATATATAGACTGAACAATCTCCGAGTTCTGAACGATACTCAGACATTATCCTGGCCAAGCACTGGCACACACGCACACAGAGAACGCAGGGAGAATGCACCCAGCACATCATTTAGATCCTTGGAGAATCCAAATTACAGAAAATATAAGATTAACAAGAACTTTAACAAAACAAATAATATATCATTCGCTGACAAACTCTTAAGTGATATGAAAACAATTTGTAGGGTTTTTAGTGATTTGGAAAAGCTGCAAAAAAGTATTGCATACATTTAGGCACAATTCAGGAGATTTGAAACCCTAGACATTAGAGTGACTCTCACACTTTTAGAAACCAAACTTGTTGTTTTTAGATCTACAAAGATTTTTCGAATCAATTCTCTAAATATCAGAGAGCAGGGATATATTTGTTTATAATTTGGCTCATTTGGTAAGTATAAAACTTGCAGTTTCCAAAATAACTCCACAATATCAACTTTTTAAGGACGAATTGAGGGGTTTCCCTTTTGGAAAAGCGGGTTTATACCAATTCCGTTCCCACCATATCTAATCTTAGTTTTCTGTGCTGCGCATGGCGCTTCTCCCTGGGAGATGCTACTTGGTTGTTCGGCTATAACATAAAGCTCGTGGAGGAGCGTCAGTCACGCCCAATTCTCTTGTGTATCTGTTGATGTTTGAGCAGGTGCGCCTTCTGGCGAAAGGCCTTGGCGCAGACGTCGCACGGAAGGGTTTCTCGCCCGTGTGGGTGCGCAGATGCACCTTGATGTTGGACTTGTTGAGGAATCCCCGATTGCAGATGCTGCACCGATGGACGGGCTTCTCCTTGCCAGCAAACCACTCAGATCGCTGGCACTGAAGCCGGATGGTGAGATGGCGCTCATTTGGGGCGTGGTTGGTGGTCCACCACCCTCACCCGCTGCTGTTGTTGCTGCTGCTGCTGCTGTTGCTGCTGGTTGGACTTCTTCTGGGATCGGGATCTCTTGGCCTTGGGCGCACCACTTCTCATCTCCGAACCCGTCGTGCTGGCCGTCGTCGTATGCGGATAGTTGCCCAAGAGATCTGGGGACACAGGCCATTATCCTTGAGGGACAGACCGGAATTCTGCATGGAGTAGCCACCTGCTGGTGGGGATGATTCCCGTCGCCTGGTTATTGGTCGGATTGCTTAAATACCGCGGATTGATCATCAGACCATTGGGTTGTCCGTTGTGCTGACCACCGAACCGGGTGGACTGCAACTGCTGCTGGTGGCCGCCGCCAGTTCGTTGCAGTACGAGGTAGATGTGGGCGCCTGGGGATCCCCTTTGATCCCCGCTCCAGGATTTCCGGCTCCTCCTCCTCCTGAGGAATTACCATTGGGTGGACCATTCTGCAGGCGATTCTGCAGCAGGGGCATATACCGTGGCTCAGTAAACTCTGGAGCGTGGAACTGCTGGCGTGCATGGGCAGCGGACTGTGTGGCAGCATGAAATCCCCCAGGGAATCCTGCTGCGACACCAGAACCTTGGCCGACTCCTGCTGTATGCAATTGCCATCGATCCAGGCATCGAGATCCATCCAGCTGTCCCGCGTATCGTTGTTATCATCCTTGTCCAGCTGATTGGGCACCGTGGTGTCCGCAATGGCGGAACCTATAATGGCGGCTATATCATCTATGGAGTTCATGTCCACATACTCCGTCAGATCCTTGTAGATCCGTACGCCGGAATTGTGCAGGGAATCGGCCACCTGATCGATGGGCGTTAAGGTGGCTATGCTGGGATTGCCGGTCCTCCAGATCCACCATTAACCGACGATCCCGAGCCGGAACCATTCATCACACAGCTATCGGCCACCGAGTAAAGCTTAGAATCTAGTTGACTATCGGCGAAGAGCTTCACGTCCGCCAGGCAGGCATCGTTGCCCCACCGCCACTCCCACTTAGGACACTTTCTGGTAAGCAGGTGGAGGAGGAGACTATGTTGTGCTCGTTGGAGTTGGAGCTGCTATTGCTGCCCCCATTCGATTGCGTGGTGGATGTGGGATTCGATTGGTTATTCTGCGGGTGATAGGCACTCTGCATATAGTTGTTGTTGCTCTCATCCGGCAGCCGTTGGGCGATGGCATGGTAATGGTGGCCGGAGATCCCATTGATGGACAGGTGACCCGTGTAGCCGGTGAAGGGCGGCAGAGGTTTCAGATCGGACAGGCATTCAGGGACGATCCATTCAGCAACAGATTGTCCAGGACGTCCAGCGAGTTCTTCTGATCCGCATCGCTGGGCAGGGAGTCCAGGTCGTGCTCCAGCAACAGCTTGTGCCCATCGAGCAGATACTGATCCTGGGCGAGGTCTGGGGCGGTCCCCAGCATGGGCTCATCAGCAGGCTCTCAACTTCCGATTCACTTGGGCCGTTCATGCTGCAAAACTTCATTGTCAGTGGACCCAGGCGATCGAGGCGAATCTTCCGGCGATCCGAGGGTTGTCAGATTCCTGCGCTATCCAAGGACCAAGTTTTAGCTGGAAAAATATTAGATAAGGATCGCATCAGTTTAATAGTTTAGAAAAACATTTGGTTAGCGCTATCTACTTATTAAGTTATAGAACTAAACATTAACTACTCTTTAGTATTACAAAAAATACGTTACCCTTTTTTATTTTGGTTAATATTCCTTGAAATAAAATATCTAATTATATTCAGAGTACTTTTATTAAGATTCTACTATTATAACTGTGAATTATATATAAACTTGGTTAAAGTTTTTTTTTAAAACTGTAAGTTCCAATACAAATCTTTCTTCATTCATCAAAATTAAGCTTGGCCCACTGATCCATTCTGAGATAAAAATCTTTGGTGTCCCTATTATCTCTAAGACAAAGAATTAAGCTTACACTAGCAATCTGCTGTGATGACCCCACCTCTATATAATTAATATCAGGTTCCTACCGACCCAACCCCACCACCTTGCCTCCCTGCACTTGCTAACAACCTGACACATCGATCCCGACCCACTGATAGCTTCACTAATGATTCTTTAATATGAAAATATTAAACAAAACTACGGCCCGCCCGTTGACCAAAAATATATTTTTCCACGGTGCTTCCCCAAACCCCAATCCCCTTTCCATATCCCCAGCCCAAAATAGAGATTAGGTTAAGACATTCGATAAGCCTTAATGTCCGTAAACAAGAAGAAGCAGAAGCGGCGGCATGGGATGCATAGGAAAACGAAGAAGAAACTAAAATCGATACCAGAATCGGCCAATAATAATTTCCAACCGGTATTTGGGTCAAAACATTAATAATCAGTTAAATTAGCATATAAATTGGTGGCGATAGAGCGAGAGGGTGTACAAAGCGGGAAAGAGAACGCATTTGGCTACGAATGTGTGATCGTATTCGATATTTGTATTTCGATGGTGCACGCTTGATTGGAACCCAAGTGGAAGTTCTCCACCAAAGCGACATCATATGAAAGACCGACAATGAAAGCACAACCTAAAACACACAGGTGTAGACCCAAAAAACCAAGGGAAGAAGAAGCAATGTCGACCCACACTAAACACTGACTATACACACTGGAAATTTTAATAAAATATTTTCGATTTAAAACTTTTTACAATTTATTGATCTCGGGATTAAAGGTTTAATTTTTTGAGTACTGAAATTAACAATTTAAAGTAATAAAATATTTTAATAATCTATAATTTTTCTGAGTGTATAAGTTCATTTGGTTAACTAGTTGGAACACAAAACGAAATGAAATGAAAGAAACGGTAAAGCAACAACACTCCCCCCTTTTTCTCTCTCTCTCTCTCTTTTGTGCATAAACAGTTAACTTGATTTCGAGGCTTGGCAAGAAAGAAGAAGACGAAGAAGGTGAAGAAGAGGCAGACGGAAAGGCAGAAATCAAAGCTAGACACTGTCCAGCTGCAAAGAGAAAATTTCGCTTTCAACAGGTTGGCGGTGGATCTACCAGCAACATGTTGCGCTAGCATGCGGAAAGAAGAAGAAGAAGGAGAAGAAGAAGCGGCAACAGCGGCTCAGTCGACGTCGGCGTCAAGCCAGGTAAGCAGGCGCAGCTAAGCGTGGCGGCAGAGCAGCGACCGCGGCAGCAAAACTACCGTTAGCCGAGAGACGACAAGAAGAGACCTGCTGACATACTTCCGCGATCGGCAAAACCCGAACCGCTGTTGCCGAAGCCCGGCTTTTCTCTCGCTCTCTGTGGGCATCTCTCTCATTCGCTCTCTCCTGTGCCATTGTAATTGTGGAGTTTTTGGATGCTCATGCTCATTCTCATTACCAATTTTGGTTGGCACAGTTATGGGGGATTTTTGTTTTTGTTTCAAGCCCGACTTTGATTTTATGAATTTCTGAATTCCAATCAGTACACCAAGGGAAAAATACAGATAAAAAAATTAAGTGATTTTTTATTAGATATAATAAATAAAATAAGTTATTCTTTCGATAATGATTAAAAATATGGAAACTATGTCATGAAAAATGTATCTAGGAAATATATAGGAGGGTAATCAAATAATATCCATTTCTATGGAGTATTTTAAAATAGATTACAACTATTTAATAATTAATAAAATTGTACCAACAAAAATTTGGATCATTCCCTTTTATTAATGTATAATATACTTTAGAATTAAATGTATTTTTTTCTTACTGTTTTTGTGGATGATCCAATTTAAGATCCAGCTTTCTTGCCATCTTCCATCTTAGTTAAAGACACATTAAACTTTTTTTATATCCCAATATTTGAGTGTACTTTGGGCGTGCTATAGGCCTGAGTGAATCGGGAATTAAAATTGGCGTGAAATATTTTATGGCAAACAAAAACGCACTCATTCTCACCCCATTCCGATTCAGATGCCGTATTCTATATCTGAATCTGAGTATCCCATTGTTATTGTTTGACTGCGCGTCAGATTTTACACATTTTTGTTTGGCCGGCGCTTTATTGTTGCTTCTGCATGAGCATTTTTCTTTTAATGAGCCACATTGTAACGGTGGTCCGCTGCTCCGTTTGCATTTGAATGCCCATCGTCCCACAGACACAGATACACACACACACACACACATACACCCACTTGGGAGCGCACACCTGAGAGACCCCAACACCATCACACGAATTGCGGGGGCGCGCCGCACAATGGGCCTCTATTGTAATTTAGGCTTGTAAATGGTCAGCAGGCCGCACAATGGACAATGTCAGCCGACGGAGATCGGCTGCGGGGGCATTATAATTACTGCTATGTCAGTCAAGCGGGCTGAAAACCTTTAACGGTTATTCCGAACGAATTAGTGCGAATTTTTGACAGCCGAGTGATTTTATGAGCTTAGCTTATATAGTTATATATAGCTTAAGTGTGGCTGTTGGGTGTTAGATTTTGGTAAATAGTTCAATTATAAGTGAGAACTAAGTTAAAGTAAATTATCATATTACACTGTTATTATTACGAACTCACAACAAAAGACTTAAGAAACGAACTTTATAATCTAGTAGGTTGTTAATACTGACCTACATGATAAATTGGTTAAGATGATGGTATAGCCAATGAAAAAATCCATAAATATATGAAAATTTATAGAATTACTCAAGAAACTATCTCCAATTAGCTAAATGATCTGCTACACCAACTCACAGATCCCACAGATAACCTGCATATCCTTCACAATCGCCCTCAAATTCCCTTGGACAATTGATCGGCCAACTATCTCGGGTCGAAGACAAAAAAATAACTTACTTAACCATCTAACAGGCAACTAAATGTCTGACCCGAGCAATTGACCAGCGAAATGAACTCTAAACCGCATCAACAACACGACCGGCAACAACAGCTGCTGATCAGATGGAAATTGAGTTCTTAACGTTTCCTAGAAAACTCGAACGGAAATTGGTCTTAACCTTTGGCGGCAATCAACTTCCGTTTAAATGTTCGAACACGATGCGGCTCAAAGGTCAAAACGTTTTGGCCAAAGTCAAGCTGCAAACACTTTCCACCCGCCTCCTCACGGACCCGAAAATGAAAAGAAAAATCAGGTCGGCATTGGTGTTTTTCTGCGGGGCTGCTGCGGGAAGCGGATCGCTGGAAAAGCGAATGAAAAATTATTTGATTGCAAAATTTACAACCGCAAAAAAAAAAGAAAAACCGCACGTACCAGCTTCCACTATAGTAAGATGGAAAAAAAAAACTTTGACCAAGACCGAGAAGCCGAAAAAAAGCCTCGGAAACGTGTGGCTTGCATTGAGGTCGCCATCAGTCATTGAAGGTTTGCGAGGCTGTGAGCTTGCCCCGCCCCTCTTCACCCGCCCCTGCCCATCTATCTTGGCCCACTCGGATGTGGATGCAACAAATTGTTGGCAGTGAAAAACGAACGAGTCGAGAAACGAACCAACTTCAGTTGGCCATCCGCCGCCTGTATACTCTTGGGTGATTTTTTCTGTAATAAGCCGATTTAAATTCTATGGTGAGTGCCTGTCTGGGTTATCAAATCAAGGGATTCAGAAGTCTGGGACTTTTAGTTAATATTCCTTAGATAACTGACCTATTTCCAAAGTGTTTTCATTTTTATTTTGTTTAGGTATCTAAAGGTATTGCATCTTAAGAAGTCCTTGGAAAGGCTAATCACTTATTAAATACTATTTATAAGGTATCTAAAGAAGTTTCAAAGTCTGGGATTTTAGTTAATATTCCTTAATAACTGACCATTTCCAGAGTGGGTTCATTCTTATTTTGTTTAGGTATCTAAAGGAATTGCATCTTTAAGAAAGGGCTAATCACTTAGTAAAAACATTTTATAAGGTAACCAAAGAAGACCTTAGAAAGTGATATCACTATGAAATACGTTATTTATAAGATTATTTAAAGAAAAAGTAGTGTATTCAGATAGTGAGATACTGTCTAACTGGAAACTGAAAACATAAAACTGGGAAACTAGCAGTCAGCGGTGGGAAACGTGCTCGGTTCTTAATTCTTGATTCTGTGCTCTTGGTTCCAGTTCTTCATCTCCTTGGCAGCTGCGCACTTGACCGCACATGTGGCACGTGTGCTGGATGGCATAAGCTGGATACTGGATGGCCGAGCTGTAAGAATTGTGGCATGCCCCTCGTTAGCCCCCTCTGGAATGAGTAACTAACCCAGAGACAGACGGGGGAACCAAAGCCAAGCCCATCTGCAGACTGGTCAACAAATAGGCGCAGCGCTTCGCTACAGACGCTATCAAAATCTTGTTTTCTCAAGTGATACAGAAAGAAATTTGTGTTGAGATCAGTTAAAGATTTGTTCATGTATCAGGAAATAAGACTTATAACAAGGATCTTATTTTTGTAATTGGCTAAAGATTTTGATCTATAAGTTTTTTAATCGTCTTAGTTTCATAGAATAATTTTGGAAATTTATTGATTATTTTCCTCAGTGTTTATTGAGGAACATGGTCAAGAATACTTTAGCAAATGGGTGGGCGTGCCTGTTGTATATCAAATGAAGTGCTTGTATCCATCTATCTGCACATGAATTGTGTTGTTCGAGGTGTAAATAGGTTTTAAATTAACTAGTCTAGATGGGAAGAGGAAAACGAGAATTTGATGGTTTCGTTTGCTCTACATAACTTTAAAAACCCGTTTAGACTTGGGTAAATGGGTAATTAATTTAAATATTTATGTATAACCAGGGAATACAAAATTCCTAGCATTAATTAAATGAGTTTTTCTTCCCAACCTTTCTGAATATTACTGTATCTTTTCTCTCCCCACATCTGTTTAATCTTTCCTTAAACTCTTGTGGTTTTTATCGCCTGCTGTTTGTTTTGGCCATGAATGAACTTCTGCACAGCAATTTGCTCTGGTCGGCACTTGACTCGCCTCGACATAACTCTTCCCCGAGACCCTGGTCTCTTGGGGAACTACAATGCCGTTAGCTTCCACGGCCTCCACACCCTTTTTGTGGCCAACATGTGTCCAACAGGCCAGATGACAAGCTGGCGATGGCGATAAGGCCGGCTCTCCGAACGGAAACCCCGCAGGAAGGCTTGGCGATACTTTTATGACCGAGGCTGTATATTCGGAAAGAGATGTACCGGCAATGGACCCTCCACACAGCGAATCCAAGTCCAAATCCACTCCCTGGAGGGCCAGTAACAACTATGCAAATTTTTGTGTATTTTTTATGATGCTAACTATTTTTAGTCGCTTTTTTTCCAGCTAGTTTCTTGTTGTTATTTAAATGGTGTGGAGTATCTGTGTGTGCGTGTCGAGACTCTATTATTATTATTATTTTTTCGTGGGTTTGTTGTGGTCATCGGAGAGCAGCAGAGGCAACCATAACAACAACCACAATGACAGCAGTCTGGCAAGTCCCAAAAAGCATTGCCCAGGTCAGCGAACTTTTTTCCTATCCGCTGCCTTTGTGAATAATATTTGCGTATTTGCGTAGTTTATTCCATTTGTAGTTGTATATTCCCTTTGTTGTGCAGCTAAATGTGCAAATTAAACAAAAAAAGTTGTGGATAGGAAGACTCCTTCTTAGCAGTTGGCGGTTTAGAAATATTCTGAATTCATACATCTATTTGCCAAATTATTTGATCATCTTTGGTTCTTAAGTAATGATCAGCTAATGACAGAAGTTGATTGGGCGGTTTATTTTGGGGATCTTTGCCGCTAAAAGGGACTTTTGTAGGTTTGTGAATATCTTGATTAATGGTCCTGTTACTAAGTTCTTAATTTGTCAAATAGTATAATACTTAAAATAATATAAGGGATATTAAACAAATATATTTAAATGTGCTTTATAAGGCTTATAATAATAATAAGAAATAACCACAAAAGAAATTAAGCAAGGCCTAACAACTTTAGTTCCAGCTGAAAATTTCTCATTTCCCGAATTAGTGACCTAATTAATGCAGTTCCTTAATTATCTGAAAGCTCATGGTTAAGCCAAGCTCAAGAACTTAATTTTGTTACAACTCTTGTAATTGATATGTTATGCTCGCCTCCTCATTTTCGGTCTTCACGGGAACAAAAACCTCCTTAACCCAGCACACCTCTTAATTAAAGATCGAATCGGAGCCGATTGTGATCTCAATTTTGAAATTCAATTAAAAACGAATGAAGAAAAGCTGAAAATTTGAAGGAAAGATATGAAAACAACAACGAAAATCTTTAACCCAAAATGCAACTTAATGCTTAGCGAATTGGTTACGCTCATTGACGCTGCCAGACAGCTGGAAGAGTTGCTGATGCTCTTGAAGGTGATGTTGCTGCTGGGCCTACTTCATATACCAACGCGCTCTGGCTACACTGAGAAAAACTGTAGGAGGAAATACCCCAAAGTTAAGCCCCGAAAAAAAAAACAACCAAACTTGTTCATTAAAAAAAGATAAAAGCAATTTCACAAATTGAATAAAACTCATCGAATTTTATTTAAAAATAAGAAGTTATTAACCAAAAACTATTATTTTTCAATGCAATATTTAATTTAATCAGGAATAATATTTATGTATTAAATAAAAATTAATATATTAAAGTTGTATTCTTTGAAAAGCAAACTTGTCAATAAAATATAGGTAAAAACAAATTGATAAAACTCTATGAATTTTATTTAAAAACTAAGAATTTAATAAACCAAAAACCATTATTTTCAATATAATATTCTTTTACTAAACAATAATGTTGTGAAATAAATTTTGTAATTATTTTTTAATAAATTACATTTTTTCATAATATTTGTTCCAGTGTATATCTATCTTTACCGCTTTGCTTTGTTTTGGGGGAATTGCCGCTTGCTGAATGAGTAAGCGTAATTTTGCGTCATCTAACGGTACAAACCGCCGCTACTGTTGTTGTTGTTGTTGCTGCCATTGTTGCTGGTGCTTTTTTTTTTAATTTTTTGGCTGCCATTGCCATTCCGTTCTTACCAACCGATTGTTGTTGTATTTTAGACCATTTTTGTCAGACAAACAAACGGTTTTATGATTTATTTTTAGCCCATCCAACGGCTTGGCAACAGTAGCAGTTCCCCTCCCCCTCACCTCTTAACTGCCCCCTTCCTTTTACCAAAAAATATAAAAAACATTTAAGTGCTAGCTGTAAAGCGAAGAGAGGAGAATCACAACTTTTTACTTCCGACTGCAGTGGGGAAGTTCGTTTTGAGGTCGCCCAAAGACGCTTAATTGTTTCGGAACCATTATATTTTCCAGCTTGTGGATTTTCGGCTGCACATTGCGCATACGTCATGTGGGAAGTGCCGGTTTAATCCGATCAACTAAATAAGTTTGTTTGAGGAATCTTGGAGAAAGGGGAATACAATTATAAACATTTTTAGGTGGGTGTTTCAATGTTATAGAAATAAATCTAAATATAAATTAAAGTCAAGAAACACTATTATGAAATTTTTCAAAAAGAGGGTTTGACTACCCAAGTATTTAAAAATTTATAAAATATATATATATAAATAAATAAATCCCAAGTCTTTAATGCTGCATATTTTAGTTCTTTAAATAACTTATTTTTTTTTAACTTAAAAAAATATGATATTAAAGAAAAATCGAGATCTTCCTGATGATAATCCACAATTGTTGTATTGCCAATATAATATAATATATAATATTGACATCTGTCAATTAATAATAAATTGTGTATAAGATGCTAAACATATTTTCATAGTGAGATCATATTTGTATGATTTGTCACCAAGAATCACAGAAAAATCTAGATGTTAAAAACACTCCTAGGGATAGATTCCAAAGGGATTATAGAATTTAAACACATTAATATATGCATGTGTATTTATAAAACACAAGGTAGTTATGTTGCCTGTAAATTATCTGTCAGCGAACCCAAAGAAAATATAGCTTGTTAGACTAATAAGAACACATTTTTGCAATAGTTTCTTCACCCCGACGAACGAACCCAGCGCCAAATTCCATTCCCAGTTCTAATTAGCATTGTATCCATCTCGGGATACAGCCTTGTCACTGCCCATTAGTAGTATGTGAATTTCACAATTGTCATACCTAAGTGGAGCCCTACAGGCGGTACCCATTACACATCCCCCACCTTCCCGATCCACCTGCCTGTCTATAGGCCGTCTATTTGTATTTCATAACAGGTGAGTAATATACGAACATATCGGAAACGATTTCGGTCAATGACTTTTGCCTGATTTGTTTATAAGCAAGAATTGAGAATATTCTTCTTATTCGCGAGGCCGTTGACTTGAGGAATTTCGGTTTGTTTGGTTTTTGGATTGGCTTGGTGTTGGGGTAGAAGATTCATTGATTACTTACTGTTACGAAATTGCAGCTTAGCTAATAGACATTTTGAAAATAATATTCAAAAATTAATTAACGTTTTCTGTAAGTTGTTCGTTGGATGTTACTGTTTCGGTTTTTGTTTGCGATAATCCGTGTTCAATTATATATGATAATCCTTGGGGTTGTAAGTTAAGAATCCTTTATTAGCTTGGCGTTTGTATAAAGTTTGCGATTGTATTTATAGCTTGATTTCGAAACATTGAAGTGAAGAAGCAGTGGAATTAAAATAGATTATAGGCCATCACCAAGAGAGAACAAATTAAAAACCAACACCGAATGCGGGTAAGGTAGAAAATGTGTGGTAAATAAAAATAACATTTTTGTATACTCACAAAAACAATGGGAGGAAGACATAAAACTATGCATAAAATAATGAACGGGTAGTAGTACGAGTAGATTGTTTATTATGTGTGGGATAAAGATATAAATTGCAACCCTGCAATCTGGGATGATAGTTCCGTAGTGGATAGTGGTTTAATTTAGATTGCTTTCCAATATTCTTGGTTTTTTATTTGTTTCTTTTCTGTTTGCAGTATGTACAATGGGGTCAACGCAGCTGATTTCCGGGTTAAAATATTTACAACAGCGTTTTTTTGGGAGTATTTAGCATGTGTAATATTATTTATTTATTTTGTAGAATTTGTTTTGAATTTTAACTTTTTGTTAAGCGTATTTCCTTTTGTATTGCACTGTTTTTTTGTTCACTTTTAGCACTGTGTTGGGAATTTTATTAGTTGGATTTGGAATGTATTTGACAATTTCTTAAACTTGTTGTCAACCATTTTCACAATTTTTTAGCCGCATTTTATCGATATTTAAATTTTTGCGTTTTTGTTCACTTCTTTTTATATCTCTTTCTTTCGTTATTTTTGCTGTGGGCTTGTTCTAATTTCTGTTGCTTGCTCTTTCGATTATTGCCACTTCACATGTTCGCCACACTGTATCTGTATCTCTGTATCTCTGTGGATGTAAGCGATGAGGAGGAAGAAGTCCACGTCCACGTCCACAATCAAATCGAACCGAACCGCGAAAAAACGCTGAAACGCAGACACTGGGTGCGCACAAATCCGTAGACGTCAACGGTAGAAAGCCAACTGTGCGCAGGCGCAACACGAAAAGAAATTTCCGAGCCAAGAAGTTCAACGGCGACGTCGACGTCGACGCAGGCAGCGAAGCGATCCGATGCGAGCAGCAACCGCTGTGCAGATACAAAGATACAAATCACGATCGGAGAGCGAGAGCCGGAGAGTATGGGCACAACATGTTCGATTCGAAAACCTCGGCTTGAGCCGGCCAACATGTTCGATTGCTGGCAACAGGTCAGTTCGAGGCAGTTCAAAGTCAAAGTCAGGGCTAAGTTTGTTTATCTTGCTGAAACCTCGACAAAAGCGTACGACTTTGGATGTTTGTGAACTGCATTGAAACATATCTCAATATTATAATTTAATTTTAAAAAAATTTTTTTATTAATCAGTACTAGGACGTTTTTTGTGTTTCATTTTATCTTTTCTTTAAAAAATATTTAACTTTCCAGTAATTTTTTTTAAATAAAAATGTATAGTTTCATTTTTATTGATATCGATTTTTTAAAAGGTTTACAATATTTTAAATTTAAAATAATATATTTTCTTAGCTCTCTTTCACGATCATACTTGTTTGAAGCTCCACATCTCTCTCCCAAGCTAATACCTGCTCTCTCTCTCTCTCGCGCGGGCGGTCGCATGCAACTTGACCTACTTAACAAAAATTTTAACTGTTATTCCTATTATTGTTCTCCAAGTAAATAAATAAATTTTATATATTTAAAATAAATTGTAAATAATAAATTTAAAATAAATAAAAATGTACTTTTAAAAATAAAGCAAGCCACGAAAATATGTAGTTGTTGCATTTCCTCTTTGGCACTTGCCGTTGCTGTTGTTGTTTTGCCTGATTGTTGTTATTGCTGCCAATATTGTTGTTGTTCATTTGCAGCGGCTGTGCAGCTAACGGTATCGCTTCGAAAATGAAAGCTCCGAGCAGCGCTCACAGGTTGCCGTGTTTTGTGTGAATTTTTGTGTTTTTACTCACGACTTTTTTGCCAGAGCAGCAGTTGTTGTGATTTTTTGTGGATTCGCCACCCTGCCAATTGGTATTATCATATTTTGGTAGGGGTATTATGGGATCTGGAGGAAATATATTTGGGATATGGGTAAATATTTCATTTTATTGTGATTTCATTAACTCAAACTCATAAATATTTTATAAATTTAATTTATTTTAAAGATTTAAAAAGTTGAAATGAAATATATTTGGGATATGGGTAAATATTTCATTTTTAATGTGATTTTTATTAACTCAAACTCATAATTATTTTTTATATTTCATTTATTTCAAAATCCAAAAGGTTTAAAATAAATTGTTAAATTTCCTCTAAATATCTTTAAAAATCTCAAATTCTAAAGCAAACCACATATTTCCTTTATTTAATCATCTTTTAAATATAGATTTTAGAATTTCTTAAATTGGAGTTCTCCCATAGTAAATATGCAATGGATAACACAAGGTGGACCACCAGGGTATTGGAATCTTCGTTCTGCTTTCGCCAATCCCATATTGAAGTTGGTATCACTGTTGGTTGGCACTGGCATTAGCATAAACAAGAGCCGCCTCATCACCGTGTTGACCAAATGCAACTGCGTCACTACGAACTTGGTCTCTATGGGCACTTTCCCCGTCGCCTCCGCCGCATCCGTCTGATTGTTGGTCATGTTTATGCCTCATGATTTGTTTTTCATCTGCCGCAGCATCCTCTTCCCCCTTTTGGGGCATCATCCACTCCGTATTTGTGGTGTCTGATTTTTTCTTCACTGGAATTAACTTGCGTTTTTTATTTCGCAAAAGTATTTTATTTGCATGCCGTCCACTTTTTTCATATTAAATATTTTGTTTTTCTTTGCGTGCGTGACTCATGCCAGTTAATAAAATTTTATCTTGGGATTGTCTTGAACTTTGTCACCTACTTCGAAGGGAGGGTTTCATGGCCAAGTTTGTTGCCCAAGTCTTTTGTTTGGCTCGATGGCAGGCGGTTTTGTGATTAACAATGGCTAGAAAAAGAATGGTAATAAATATGATGGCTTCTTTGAATGTATATTTGGGAAGCGTAGAGGTAATTAAATTTAACTGCAGTATAATAAAGTTGCATATTAAAATAAATGTTGAAAATAAGTAGGTAATGCATAGTAATTATAGATAGAAATACTATTTAACATACTTTTAATAATGTTTAAAGACCTTTATTACTTAATCTTACAGATCCTAACATTTCAGTTATTAAATACTACCTATACCATGTACATAAAACTGTCAAAATCCTTTACATGTGCTCAGAAATTTTGGATTAATTGTTAAGTCAACCAAAAGATTGACGCAAAACAAAACGAAATTGGTAATTGCTTAACCAGAACAATGAGAAATGAAGTAAATATTCTTTTCTCTACCATATTCTTATCCATAATAATGCCAAGCGGGCCCCCATCCGAACCTCCCGCCAAGTTCCGAGTTCCAAGATCAATAATTTTTACGGCAAATGCCGAGACAAGAGGCAAACATTCGGGCAAAGGGAGAAATACAGTTAGACAAATTCTATGCACGTCAAATGTCAATCTTCAGATACACAGCCGCAGCCTCAGAGGAAATCAATCTTGGCATTAAAGAAGTTCGGCAAAAGTTGTGAAGAGCGCATACAAAACTAATTGAACTTGGACAGCGTGACACTTCACCCAAAAATAAAAAAAAATCCAACCGAAATGGGGAACCCAACCGAACAATATAGGAAAGTGCCTCTAAAGTCAAGCCATCAGTCAAACCATTTTGTTCCAAGCAAATAAAGGCAAGCAATCAAATTCAGGCAAACGCCAAAAGAGTTGGTAAGAAATACAGGGGCGGCCGGCGGGGGGAGAGGTCAATGGGGCAACGGTAAAAAAGTAAAAGAAAATAAAACTCAACCGCACATTGTGTAAATATTGACACGAGGGTCAGGGGCCCTCAGAACAAGATTTGTGCATTTGTCAGGGGCCAGCTTCATTTTGGGTTAGACAAACTCAACCGAAAACAAAATGCGCCCAAAACAAAATGAAGATCTTCCGGACATCTCAGCCACCATGGGTGGTTCGCTCTGCCTGACCGCAAAATATCTGTAAATTAAGGTGCAAATAACAAATTGCGCAGAAGTCAAAACAATTTGCAACGCCTCCGAGCTGCACCTTTCTATTTGCCCAAAACAAGACGAAAAACGAACTGCAAATGTGACAGAAACCAAAAACAGAACCCAGGAAAAACAAGTGCTCGAGGGGTGGTCATCTCATCGTGGGAGAGGTAGCATCCAGACGACAGGTAGGATTTATGTACCATCAAGTGGCTCAAATTGCCTTCCAAGCTGATGCTGACTACTGCCAAACTGTGCAGATCCTGGCGGTTGAATAAGGTAAACACTATCTTCCTTTCAATTTCTATTGAGTTTGTGTCCTAAGTCTTTTGTTTGGATAGGCGGAACCAAAATGTTGGCAATCGTTTGTCTAGGCAACATTGGAACAGATTTTTAATTATTTCAAGATTTCATTTTTATTTTAAGTATATTTCTTTCATATCTTAACCCGAAAAGCATTTTGTATAAATTTCCATTCAAATTACCTTACCATATCTGATCTAGCTTCGATGCTATCCCATCAATTCCCATTTTTAGATCTCTCACATCCTTCTCTCGCCAATCTCGTGTATCTTTTTGTCCAGCCAAAAACTTCGAATTGATGTCAAACGTTGCATAAATTTGGCATCATATCTAACAGCTACAACACCAGCGACCACAAGAACAAACATCAATAATAATAATGCAAATTTGGCATGCATAATTTTGTACTCTTCGGCTTCTTCCACCATTTTTTTTTTTTGGCTTGTATTCTTCTTCTTTTTTGAGCCAAGGTGCGGGCGTTAGTTAGCCCAGAAAGAGGGAGACAAGGGGAATGGGGATAGAACACCTCCGAGTTAAGATCTGCGATGGAGGCGCTGTCGATGCAGAGGCTTATCAACGTTAATAACACGCAGAAGACAAGCGAACAAAACCAAACAATAAAGGAAAAGGAGAGCAAGAACGAGAACAACAAAACGAGGCGGCAATAAAAATGCTAAATAAATGGCCGCATGTGTGCGACGGAGGAAGCGGAGAAATGGATCTAGGAGAAATATGAATGTAGTGCAAAGTGTGGGAGGCCTGTCGGGTGGGTGACTGCCTGCACTGAAAAAAATACCCCTATGATTTAAAATAAAATGTGTATTTTCATATTTATAAAAAATATCAACGTATTAATGATAAAAAATTTAAAATTATTATTTTAAAAGGTGAGATATTTATTAAAAGCAATAGAAAGGTCTTAACTTATATTATGACTCAAGAAGATGGTAATTTCTTAAACAATTTTGTGATAAAAAATATAATATTTTCAATGTTTCTTTATATATAATATTAATTTAATAAATTTAGTAATTATTAAGTCTAATGAAGTAAATTAAATACGTTAAATTTTCACTGATCAATGATTAAAGTCGGTATAAATTTTAGCAATAGAATCTTGA